TACATATATATATATTCCATAGTGAGAAAAAAACAGTTTAATACATTGTTCTTTTTGCTGTGGAGTATACTGTTGTCATGGAAATCAGTTTATTTGGTAGCTCCTCAGATTGAAGAAGTCCTTTGGATGAATGACGAAATGTCTCAGCTTAAAAAAGAAACCATCCAGATGACCTGACTGAACATTGTTGGATTTTATACTTGGATTATTGAACATGAACTTTGGTATTTTTAACGACTTTGGCATGACTGTCTCAGAGGAGTTGACAGGGGAGAGGGCAGGCCCCGGAGGCCATCTTAACACCAGAAAACTGTTTGGTTTTTGTTGTTGTTGTTTTTTTCCCACTATGGTGTATGCCGTTGTTGTGGGAATCAGTTTTGTTTGATGGCTCCTCAGATTGAAGAAGTCCTTTGGATGAAAGACGAAACGTCTCAGCAAAAAAGAAACCATCCAGATGACCTGACTGAACATGGTTGGGTTCATCTAACAAAGTTCAGTCAGGTCCTCTGGACGGTTTCTTCTTGTTGAAACGTTTCGTCCTTCATTCATCCATAAGACTTCATCAGTCTGAGGAGCCACAACAAGCTCAATCTTATAAATACAGTAGCACTTTCTCATAGTGGATCAACCAGTTTGATGGTGCTCAGATGGTTTGTGGAGTCCGCCGACTCCCCAGCCAACTCGTTTGAGGCTGCCATGGCCAAAATAACTTTGTTGGATTTTTCTACCTGGATTATTTAGCATGAATCAGGATTTTAAAAAGTCCATGTTTAACTCTGTTTCAGCTGTGCTCTGTAATCATTCAGACACCTGGGAACTTTACATGTTGCTCTCACAAAGTAAAATACCAAAACAACTATTTCACAAAAAATACTCGTAAATTACAATCAAAATGGGATTGATACTGTAAATCGGGTGTAAAAGGCATCGCTATGAAACTGTTCGGGTGTCCAGTTTTACAAATGCGTATTAGTAACTGTAAAAAGGTCAATGGAGTTGCTTGCCCCTGCAGGTTCTGCAGCTACGTGCTGAGAACAAGAGTCGTTGTCACACATTTATATTAAACAGTATTTAGTTAAGAGTTCACATGAGTGACTAAATTTGAGGTTGAGAAGGTAAAATTTTAATCTGTCATTAACTGGTTTGTGTTGAGAAAAAGGACAGAGGTGAAGCTGCATGGTTCAGTGAGATCCCCCGTCTCATAGATCACAGAACTTTAATGAGAAGTTAAAAAGTTGTGTCCAGTTGAAGTACTGTTATAAAATATGAGTTGACTTGTTGGAAATCAGACAAGGCAGACAACAGTCAGATGAGTTTATAGATTTTATTTTTTTTGTCTTAAAATAAACGTTTAAAATATTGTCTTGTCTCTTTTTCATGGACCTTGGATCCCATCTTGGTCTGTCTCATGAGATGTGTCTCGTTAAGGACAACCCAGAGAAAGACCACCCACTTCGAATGTTATCAGCCATTAAATGGTCGTTATTAGTTGTTATCATCCCCATATGTAGCGGTCAGGCTGCCCCACCTGTACCTCCTATTGGGTTTAAAGGTACGTTGTTAGCGATGATAATAGGCTCCATTTTTACCTTTGTTAACGCTCATAATAATAATAATAATAATCATTTTTATTTAAAAAGCGCCTTTCATGACACCCAAGGACACTTTACAGTAAGAACAAAGATCAACAGGAATAAATTACATAAAGAATGTAAAATACAGAAAGAATATAAAATACATACAGAATATAAAATGCACAAAGAATATAAAATACATACAGCAGAGTTAAGGATAAGCGAGTCTAAAGAGATGTGTTTTCAGAGCAGTCTTGAATATAGAAAGAGAGGTGGTGTTCCTTAAGTCAGGGGGTAGAGAGTTCCAGAGATGAGGAGCAGAGCAGGTGAAGGCCCTGCTCCCCATGGTGGAGAGGCGGGCAGAGGGTACATGGAGGTGTAGTGAAGAGAAGGATCTGAGAGAGCGAGAGGGGATGGAGATGTGTAAGAGGTCAAGTAGGTACGGAGGGGCAAGGTTGTGGATAGCTTTGAAAGTGAGAAGAAGAATTTTGAAGACAATGCGTGATTTAACCGGGAGCCAGTGGAGCTGCTGCAGGACAGGAGTGATGTGGTTATAGGAGGAGGTTTGAGTGATGACACGGGCAGCTGAGTTCTGGACCAATTGCAGCTTCTGGAGAGATTTGTTGGGGCGGCCATAAAGAAGGGAGTTGCAGTAGTCAATCCGAGAAGTCACAAGACTGTGAACAAGGATAGCTGTGGAGCGGGGTGTGAGAGAAGGGTGGAGACGGTTAATATTTCGGAGATGGAAATAGGCAGACCGAGTGACATTGTTGATGTGTGAAGTGAAGAAGAGAGTGGTGTCGAGGATGACACCAAGACTCTTGACCTGAGGCGAGGGAGATAGCAGAGAGTTGTTAAGGGGGATGAGAAGATTTTCTGATTTTGAAAGAGAGTTTTTGATACCGACAAGAATGATTTCTGTTTTGTTACTGTTTAGTTGTAGAAAATTGTTAGAAAACCAGTGATTTAGCTCATTGAGACAGTCGGTGAGGATGGAGGGTGGGTGGGTGGAGTTTGGTTTTGTTGACAAGTAGAGCTGTGTGTCATCAGCATAACAATGAAAATGGACACCAAATTTACGGAAGATGTGACCTAGAGGAAGGAGGTAAATGATGAAGAGGAGGGGTCCGAGGATAGAGCCTTGGGGGACACCCGTGGAGACGGGGGAAGACTGGGAACGAAAGGATTTGAGCTGAATGAATTGAGTGCAGTCAGAGAGATATGATTTGAACCAGTCTAACGGAGTACCTGAGATGCCAGTGGAGGTTAGTCTGTTGAGGAGGATAGAATGACAGATAATAGCTTCATGTGGTTAGGTTTAGAGTAAAGGGTCTGGCGGTTAGGGTCTTGGTTAGGTTTAGGCACATGGGTAAGGGGGTTTAGTTTAGGGTTGGTTCTCTGGGTCAGGTGTAAGGCTAGGTTTAGCTAAAGGGTTACATAAGCTGAAAAAAAAAAAGACACTTCCTGGTACCTCTGACGCTGCCTATAATCAGCGATAATAACGTACCTTTAAACCTACTAGGTGGTAGGTGGGACAGTCTGACCGCTACATATGAGGATGATAACAACTAATAACAGCCATTTAATGGACTGATAACATCCGAAGTCACTCGAAAGACACAAAAAACATCAATTTTCAGACTAAACATTTGGTTTTGCAAGACTGTCTAGCCATGAATCATAATTACATGTCCTTAATTTAATGGCATGGTTTTAGACAAACATGTATAGTGCTCTAAGCATGTGCTGAGGAGAGGGTCAGCTGCTACCACACCAACATTTAGCTCAGTGTTAGTAAAGTTGTCTGAGTTATTTGTTTTGTGAATTGAGTTTGTAGCAGCCTTAGTCTTGGTTAAGTCCTATCTGTCCTCTGATTACTTTCTCAAAGTTTCATTAAAATCTGTGCTGTGGTTTATAGCACTGGTAAACAATTCTCTGAACTGGGGAGGTGCTTCCACAACCAACAAATCCCAACAGTTGGATCAGTCGTGCCTTCATATGATATTCCTGAGGTCCTGTCCGGCAAAGAACGTCTACTCTGAAACAGAAGTTGAAAAACGAACAATGAAAAAACAGTATGAACGGGGAACGGTCTCAGAAGTGCAACAACAACAAAAAAAATGAACTTAGATTAAAAGAACTGTTGAAATATTTCCTGAAAACATTGCTCAAATAAGATATGTGTCCATTCAGTCAAGTTCTGATCGGACTCAGAAGAAATCTTGCATATACAGTAAATGTATCTAACTTTAGGTGGCACCAGGAGGGCGTATCGCGAATGCTTAGCAAATGGCAGCTGGCGACAGATGGAGAACTCCTCCGATCCCTGGCGAGATGACTCTGAATGTGTGGAGGACCATTTCTTTAAAGACAAGGTGAGGAGGAACGTTTCAGGTGGGTTCTTTAAGCTGAATACGTTCTACAAGATACAAACATCAAGTGATGTTTGCTTCACTGTTTGAAACATTTCCAGAAATATTGGTCTTTTAAGTTATTTTCTCGTGTGTGTCCAGGAGGAGGAAATGCTTCGGCAGACTGCACTTAGACTCATCTCTGTCATCGGCTACTCCCTGTCCCTGTTCTCCCTCATTCTGGCCACTCTCCTCATGGGCATGCTGAGGTTAGTTCTCATGAAGAAAACTTATGATAGTTCCACGGACAAAGTTTATATTTTATAAAAAAATGACTGAAGTTGTTTTCAAGCCAAAAAAACATTGATTAATTTAAACGCTGGGATTTAGTTGTAAACTGCCAGGACCTTAAAGCTTTTCAAGGAAAGCCCTAAGAAAACTTGGGAATAAAAAAGATAAATGTTTTTATTTCAGTCATGTTTATAAAATAAATGAATTTATTATATGTCTTGCGTGTCTGGGTGTAATTGTGCTGCGAGCTATTGGTGTAGAAACATCAGCAGTTTGTGTGATTGTGTTGTTAGTAATAATTTTTTTTGCAAATGTTGTCTTGGTTGGAGCAATACACAAAGAACTGGTTAGGGTTCATTTCAATTCAATTCAATTCAGTTTATTTATATAGCACCAAATCTCAACAAAGTCGTCTCAGGGCACTGAACAGAAATATTCACATACATAGAAAAGACAATTAGTAAAGTTCTCTATCTAAAGAAGAAGCAGACTTGTTGAATCTTCACTTGATCACAGTCTCCCATCCTGAGCATGTAGGGATCTGCACCTGCCCTGCTCTGTGCAGATAGTTAATGACTCTCAGGTGCTACGTATTGCGTTTAATTAGAGACTCTCCTTTATATACTGTGCTCTCCTGCATCTCAGGCAGGGGAGCATTAGGTGCTTAAGCTGCATCTTCACGGTCGTCTCCTAGTGCCTTGGTATTTCATGTATTTCCTACGAATGTAAGTAGTATCGCTGCCCCGACAGCATTATTTGTTATTGTTGCCTTTTTGTGATTAAAACGCCTTTTTTGTGACCTTGTTGGAGTCCTGCTTGCATTTGGGTGTCAACCCCCCCACCCCCACCACCACCACACACACACACACCCCGATCGTGACAGAGCAAGCACAAAGGAGACAGTAGAAAGGAAAAACTCCCTTATAACAGGAAGTGCAGAACCAGGCTCGGGACAAGCAGCCATCTGCTTCAACAGGCTGGGTTTGAGAGGAACAGGAAGGAGAAACAAACAAACACAGAATGGCAGGTCCAGATGTAGGTGCAGGTGTATCCTGTATTGGAAGAAAGACCAAAAAAAAAACATGTCAAGGATAAAATTCAAAAAATACAAATAAAAAAACAGGTAGAGTAGAGTAAATAAAGACAGCAGCAGAATGAAGAAGTCAGTTTGTCCTCCAGCAATCTAAGCCTATAGCAGCAGAACTAAGGGAAAGCTCATGAAACCCAAGCCAACCCTAACTATAGAATTTATTTAAAAAAAATTTAAAAAAAAGGAAAGTCTTAAGCCCAGTTGTAAAACTGGACAATGTGTCAGCCTCACAGACAGAAACTGGAAGTTGGTTCCACAAGAGAGGAGCCTGATAACTGAAAGATCTTCCGCCCATTCTGTTTTTGGAAACTCTAGGAACCACAAGTAAACCTGCAGTCTGAGAGCAAAGTGCTTTGTTAGGAAAATATGGAACAATAAGATCTGTAATATAAGATGGAGCTAGGTTGTTGAGCACTTTGTAGGTTAGAAGCAAGTTTTTGAATTAAATTCTGAATTTGACAGAGAGCCAATGGAGAGAAGCTAAAACTAGAGAAATGTGATCTCTCCTATCAGGAGAGGTTAGGATTAAAACAATTAGGATTCTGTCACTAAAGGCAACAGAATTTGTGCGCTGTCCATCATTGCGCTGGCTCCCCATGCACGTGTCCCAATCACCCCACCCAGGCCTCTTGTAATGACCCCACTCAATCGAGTGCTTCAAGGAGGGAGAGTATCGGGTGATGCCAGGGGTAGGCTTGTCGCGATAACAAATTTTGCTGGGTCATTGTCTCAGAAATTATTGTGATAAATTATAATATTGTTTGAAATTTAACAATAATTAATTGTCAAATTTTAGAAAACATTTTTTGATATGTTTGAAGTGTAGTACCTTTTTTGACCACCTGATGGCAGTGTAAGACTGAACCAAAGGATGGATAGATGAGCAGATGTCTCTTTAAGAAAAATGGGAGGGAAGGCCCTTGACGTGACATGGGCTCACATGGTGACATAGCGAACGCTTGTTGATTTGAGCTCTTTAGCATAGCATTTTTCACACAAAGCTTTAAAACAATTCAGTAAACAAGTTCTCAGCTTCTTTTTGCAGAAAAAAACAACTTTTTACACAAAGTTATGATTTTTAACCATGAATTTTGGAGCTTGACAAGACGAAGTTTTATTCACGAGGTCAGCCTGTTAGCTTAGCTTGTAGCTTAGCTTCTCAGTTTAGCTGCTTTTAACGATTCAAAAACGCGATTTTGGATGGTTAAAACAGATTTTAAAGAGAAAAGACAAAGGGAGGTCAGTGAAGAACACCGGAGTTGAGCCATGTCTTCAGTAGAAAGAGAGAGGCATGAAGAAACGATAAAGCCGATGAATGAAAATGAGGTTGATAATTTTCATTCATGATGCGATTAATTGATTTATTGTTTATCGCGACAGGCCTAGCAAGGGGTCCTTGTCAGGATCAGAGTCCAGGGTCAAAGGTCAGGGGTTTATGGTCAGGATAAGCAGTCAAATTTAGGGTCAAAGGTCAGGGGGTTAGGTTTAGGGCACGGGGTCATGGGTTAGAAACCAAAAAAGTCCATGCTCAATAATCCAGGTATATAATCCAACAATTTTCACTCAGGTCATCTGGACAGTTTCTTTTTTTGCTAAAAGTTTCACCTTCCACCCGGAAGGCTTCATCAGTCAAGGAAATGTTTGAGCAATAAAAGAAACTGTCCAGATGACCTGACTGAAAATTGTTGGATTATATACCAGGATTATTGAGCATGGAGTTTTTTGGTTTTGAACCAGTTTGACATGACTGTCGACGAGGAAGGGGGCCGGCAGCGGAGGAGGGGGCGTGCCAAAGACACCATCTTAGCACCAACATAACTGGTTTGTTCCACTTTGGAGTAAGCTGTTGGGGGAAGAATCAGTTTTGTGTTGTGTGATTCCTTGACTGATGAAGCCTTCTGGATGGAAGGTGAAATGTTTCAGCAAAAAAAGAAACTGTCCAGATGACCTGACTGAAAATTGTTGGGTCCTGGGCTAGGTTTTGGGACGGGTTAGCCTTAACGGTCGAGGATAGGTTTAGGGTCAAATATCAGGTTTAAGGCAGGGAATTCTGGATTCAGTTTGGGGTCAGGGTTAGGTTTAGGGTCATTGTCAGAGGGTTAGGTTTAGGGTCAGGAGTCCGGGTTCAGATAGAGCTCGTCATTAAAGCTTAGCCTCCAAAATGTAATTTTTATGTATTCTTGTGGTTGATGGAACATAATGAATGGGCTTCTTTCCTCATAATGAAACAGCAAAGCCATGTTCATGAGTCACACCTTGTTTAACTTCTCAACATGAAGCTTCCGTTGGTCATTTGAAACAAACACATCACTACCCTGAGACACATTTACAGCTTCAGCTGCTCTAATGTCGATCAGAATCATATGAGTCTGCAGTAGTTTGATTACAAAGAGGTATGTACAAGACTATAATGACTAGTCATCACTAATAGAATTATAAACCCCAAGCCAGGCTTCCCTTGTAGCTTGATCATTTTTTATTTCCTTCTATGTTATGCCCCGTGCCATCAGTAATGCTTTTAAAGTTTCAGATCAATGCCTTACTAAGAATGCTTTTGTATCTTCTTACCAGGAAGCTTCATTGTACTCGGAACTATATCCACATGAATCTGTTTGTGTCATTTATCCTGAGAGCTGTGGCCATTGTTTCAAAAGAAATCATACTGCACATTATGTATTCCAACCTACCCAAGGATGACCCTGGATGGACTTCCTACCCGAGCTCTGCGGTACTCTCCCCCGCCTTGTTTTTCATGTATAAGCAGATCTTATTATCATTTTTGTCCCATTGTAATTGTGTGCATGTACTCTGTTTATAATGTCTGCATGAACCTTTTCCTCAACAGATAGTGTTAATGTGCAGGTTCTCCAAAGTGTGCATGGAGTACTTTGTGGCCTGCAACTACTTTTGGCTCCTGGTGGAGGCCATCTTCCTTCACACGCTGCTCTTCACTGCAGTGCTTACCAAAAGGTGCTTGCTGAAGAAATACATGCTGCTAGGTTGGGGTAGGTCATGAATAAGCATTTTTGCCTGTGCATGTCTTGCTCATGGGAAGTAGATTAGGGTTAGGGGTTAAGACTAAATAAGACATTGTTCCATATTTGATCCAGGTTGCTGCATGTCTGCATGTCATGGCATTTTGATGCTGCTGGGGGGCAGTCTAGTCTAAAGTGTGTAACAATCTCAGGTATGGCAGGGTGAAAGTAATCATTAAAAAATCATGGAGATTGTTGTTTTCTCAGTCTTTCTTTGTTAGTTATTAATTTTTAGGCATATTTTGTCTGATCTAAGGGACCTTTCACACAGGATGACTTGCTAAAACATGGATGGTCTTTGCACATTTGGCAAGGTTTTCAGGCACATTTAAAGAAAACACCTGGACTTCCCATTATGCCTAATGGAAAGTGAATCATCCACAATGATTTTAAGCATTAACACAATCTCAGTAGTGAAGTCCTGACTGTTAAATTTTGTGATGGCATCATGTCAATGTCCTAGGTGGAGCATAGTGGCAGTGCATATGTCATGTGGTTTGGTAGTCCATGCTTTGAAGATGAACTTGTCTACAACTATGATTGGGAGGGACACAGTCATGGATCAACCTAGTGTGCACATGATACCCATGATGAGTGCCATGTCAAGGTGGGATGCTCAGGGCTTGGTGAGGGCTCAGGAGAGCATTTTAAGGTTGTGGAAAATAGCCGAGGAAGACCTATTGGTAAAAACTGAGTGTAGAAGTGCCATGATTGGCTTTACGCTCCAAGAGGATTTTCAGTTTATGTCACAGTCCAACAACAATTTTATAGGTGGTCTAGTTTAAGGATAGCTTGATGGGGTCATCATCCTGAGTGAAGGGGCCTCAGCTGGTTGGCGTCCACTCCTCTAATACTGACTTACAGTCAGTAAGCATTTGCCCTTTTTAGGGATTCATTTATGACATCTAGCACTTTTATAGGACTGCGTAGAAGTTTATCTGAATTAAATGAAACTCTGAGAGCTCAGCTCAGATAAATGTGTGGACTGGACAGGAGAGCAAACTATTAAAGCCAGATTTTGTTGTTTTGCTAACACAAGTTATTTAAAAAAGGTATATTTTAAAATGTTTTCTCTGCAAGTGGATGGCAAAACACATTTATGGCTGTTATGTCTTTTCAGGAACTCCTGTGTTGTTTGTGACGCCATGGGCAGTGGTCAAGATGTTGTATGAAAACATAGGGTAAGTGTCGGGCATGCCTCTCAGACATATTGACATGACTTAAGCTAAAAACTTTAACTTCAAAGACCTATAACCTATTTCTATCCTAAGGTGTTGGTCCATCATGAATAGATGGTTCTGGTGGATCATTAGAGGCCCAATTACTTTATCAGTGCTGGTAAGGGATGTAAATGTTGAACATGTTTAGTGTGTTTGAAACCCATTTTATGGTGTTTTCTATAAAAAAAAACTGAACAATATATTTGGACTTTCAATAAATTTTAGTCTGGTTTCTTACAGCATTTTGTGCTCCTTGTCTTGTGTGAAGATGTGAAGCTGCTGTTGTCAAAAAACATTTATTTTTAAAATAATATTAACACATGTGTGCTGCGGCTTGATAATAGTTTAATTCATATTGTATTTTCCAGAGCATTTTATCTCTAATCCCTGTTTGATATGTTTTGCAGATCATTTTCTTCATTTTCATCAAGATACTGATGTTGTTGTTGTCAAAGCTGAAAGCAGATCAGGTGAAATTCACAGACTACAGATACAGGTACTCCAAACTGTTACATGTTCAGAAATAAGTTTGACACGTTGCAAGTACCATCTTTGCATGTAACATTAAAATGTTAATCACGTGACAAAATGTCACACAGATTCATAAGCTGTAAACAGACCATGGCAGGAAGACTCATGTCAACAGTAGCTTCTTGTTTCTTTTTTTGAATTATTAATAATTGTTTTATTCCACACTCAGTGCCTCATACTGACAAAGTAAAAATGAGGGGGGGGGAAAAAGTATTTTGTGAATTTATTAAAAATAAAAACTGAAAACTGAAAAATCTAATTTAGAAAAGTGTTCAGACCTTTTGAAACACTTTAAATTTAGTTTGGATGCTTTCATTTTTTCAATCACTGCCTAAATATTTCGGAAGAGAAGGGCCTTGGTGAAAGAGGAGACCAGGAACCTGGTGGTTCTCTGAGCTCCAGCATACATAGGTTAAGATGGGACTATGTTGTAGAACTCGTTAACTAATAAATAAAAAAAAAGGTACCACTTTATAATAAGGCTCCCCTTCTAGATGCTAATAAATAGTTTATAGGTACATTACTAATTCCACTTTGTAAAGCATTAATAATTGGTTTTTAAACATTAATTAAGGGTGACACCTAGACAAAACTGGCCAGTTTCTTGCCAAATAGTGACCCCAATCTGCCACATATATATAT